ATCTAGGATATTTGGAAGAAAAGGTGTCGATCCAATACATTCTAATGTCGGGCTCTTTATCTTGTTATGTTCATGGCATATATATTCATTATTTCAATTGATTTACTCTTCACTTTGGTGATTATAAATTGAATACAAGATTCTATGATGACTTTGTAATCTCAAACATGGTTGGAAAGTCTAAGAAATATTGAAATGGTTGTGCTCTCTAAATATATACCTCCCTTTGTAGAGTACATTGCATTGTTTCAAAAACTTTTGCCCCTTTTGAATTAAAATTGGTTCATCTCTTATATATAGTCATCTATATTGTAATGATGTTCTTATATGAAGATGACCTTGGATAGGGGTTGGAATTTTTGAAATAAATTATGTGTTTCAAAAAAAAATATATACTTTTAAAATACCTTATTTAAATAACTTGACATTAAAAAAAGCAAAGACAATGTTATTTTTTGTTATTAGAGAAGGATGGTATTGTCATTGACATCTTCTTCTGAGGTAGTATATTCCATGTGCTCTTCTTGTCTCTTTGTTAGTGATGCAATATGTTTGGCTTTCTTTTCTCCAAATTGAAGAGAAATATATTATTTCCAAAATTGACTTTTGTTGAGGAGTGCTTGTATGGCTATCTTGGCTTATGCTAAGAGTGGCCTCAATGTCCCTTTCTATGTGATCAATACAAATTCATGTAAGATTTTATGCATTAGAATCCAAATATATTGCTCTAATTTTTTTTAATTTTATTGTGCTTAAGGTGATTAAGATGAATACTACCCAGACATAATGTCTCACTCTATTGCTCTTTTTTTTCCTATCAATATCTCCATATTGCATCCTCTCATTTCATTAATAGATTCTTAGTATTATATATATTATTGATTATCTTTAAGAGTGCCATTGCGGTGTCTTAAAAAAAGAGTATTATTGTTTATGCATGAGACCATTTTGTATAATTTTATAATATTTTATAATTTGACAAAGACTTTATAAAAAAAATTGCTTGCTATCATAAACAGTATAGAAAATATCTTATAGTATGTAGTCTAGATATTAGGTTACAACATAAATGGCACAATACAAATAAAGTCTTCTAATAGTACTGTGGTTCAATGTCCTATTTTTTGAGCATTTATGAATTCTATATATATATATATATATATTGGTTTGGATTGAAAGTAGAATTTTCAATGTTATTTTTTCTTCCATACAAATTGGAATCCCTCCCAATGATGTACAATGTGAGGTTGATTTAAGTATTGTGAATTAATACTCCTCTTTGTGGATGTGTTGAGTCTACTTATCAATTGGATTTGATTGTTGGTAGATGTCCCTTCTTTGTCTTATAACAATTTTGTAGCAATAAAGATCATATGCATGAAGCAAAACAGTTCGAGGCAAGGGTTCTTTTCTTATGTCATCATTGAATTCAGCTTGTGCATTGTCAATGGAGTCAAGCTAACTGGCTGTCCTTGCATGGTATTGTGAGAAGGGTCTCTTTTAATACTTAATGTTGCCGGTTGTAGATTAAACTCATTAGATTATTTTTTCTTCTAATTTTATATATTTTGTAGAATTTGCTATCATGATATAATACAACTAATATGTGAAAAGAGTGAAGAAATTATTATATTATAAAAGATCTTACTTTAAATATTGTAGAAAATTATCTTAGAAAATAGACAATAGTCCAAAAGAAAGTAAAACTAAAGATATAAATGCTACCTTTTTACAAAGTAGGCTTCTACTTATTTTATAAGGCCATAAATAAAGAAAAATAAGATAGATTAAAAAAATAATAGATGTGAACATATGTAAGAAGAAGTTAGGAGTTGATTTTACCAAAATAAATTCAAAAGGAAAAAATTTAATACCCAGAGAGGACCAATTATCAACTTGGATTCAAATCAGACTCCAAGGCACAAAACTAGGCACCTATTGCAACTTTGGAATTTTTTGGCAGATTAGAGAGTGGAATTTGAGAGTAGACTTGATAACGTTTTTTAGAGCATTAATTTTGAGTGATTTGAGTGTGTAATGACTTTGAAAGAGGTATGCAAAGTTACAGTTGTTTTGAGTGATTTTGGAATTTTTGAAATAAAAAAGATATTATGTTTTAGAGAATTTTGTAAGTTTGGTAGTAGATCTAAAATTCAAATTTTGAGAACTTATGTAAATAGTTGTGTGAAGTATATATTATAAGTTTGAGCTTGATCAAAAAATTATATTGAAGGTTATTGAATTTTAAGTAGGTTGAGGTTTCAAAAATTGGACTTTGAAAGGCAATTAGGATTTTTAAGATTTTCAGCAATCTACCAGTTGGATTAGAATAAATTTTATATATAAAGATAATAGACTTGATTTTCTACACATATGTGAAACTTTAAAAAAATTAAATAATTTAATGAAGAGATATTGGTACTAGAAGTTTAACCTTTAGATTGGAGTAGGAGGCTGATCAAGACCTGAGCGGATTTTAGGATTTTCCTTCTATTTGACAAGTGTGATCATCTTCAAATTTGTATGCTTATTGTTAACTTAATTATTGAAAAGTGTATAAAATTTTAAGCAAGATCAATAGTTTAATTAATAGATATTGAGGTTCTAAATTGTGCTAGAATTAAGTTGAGTTGTTTAGATTCGACTAGGATTTGGTTTAGGATTTAGGATTTGCTTAGGATTTAGGGTTTAAAGTTTAATTGGATTTAGGATTTGACTTAGGATTTGATTGAAGTCCATTAGGATTTTAACTAAGATTAAAGTAGGACTTGATAGAAATTTATTTAAAATATATTTATGATTATTTTAATATTTCTTTAGGATTTCTTATGGATTCTTTTAAGGTTTATTGTAAATTTCTTTTGAATTCTTTTAAGATTTCTTATTATTTCTTTTGGAATTTCTTTAAGATTTCTTTTGAATTTGATTAAAGATTACTTAGTATTATTAAGGTTTAATTAGAGTTTATTTAGTATTCTATTAGAGATAAGATTTTGTTGTTGTAATTTCCATTCTACATTCCACAATTAGGTGCCTAGTGAATTCTCGAGCAAGACTTTACAGAATACAACATTGTTGCATTTTGTAGTTGTGTGTTTCTTGTTCTCTATGAAATTTTTGGAGTTGGTCCGTCTTGGCTTACTTTCTAAGGCTTGGTATCTAAAACCTCTATACCTAATACATTGGTTTGGATATTCCAATATAATGATTTTGTGTATGACAGGAGATTCTGGGGACACTTTTGGTAAACTAATTCTGGATCGTAGCTTTGTTACATCTGGAACTCTGAGTTTGATTCTTGATCATGTTGTTTTGCTTCTGTATGAGGATGATTCTTCTACAAACAATACTTCTCCCAATCAAAAGGCTTTGAATTTAAGGCAGAGTTCTTGTTTTATGTAATGGATCAGTTTTAAGAATTGGATCCAAATTGGATATATAAGGAACCTATATGTCTTCTTATTTTCTATTGAAAATAATGTGGTCTAGAGGGCGAAGGGTATTGCTTTATCTTCATGGATGACTAGGGTGTTAAAGGTATATTGAACCCCCTCTGTGCTGAAGAAGGTAACTTCAAAGAAATCGCTACCTATTAAAATGCAAGTCTCCAAGTTGTGGTGAAGCATTAAGATAGCCCATTGTGCCAAGATTGGTTGTCTTAGGCTAATGCCTACGATATAATCAATGGTTTTGTATTACATTATTTTGTTATGGATCACCTCAATAAATTGACGCTCCTTAGAAGAAAAGATAATATGTAGCCTATCAAGGTCATACTTTAATTGTGAGACAATGTTGACTGAAGGGTGGCAAGATTGTGCAGGTGTCTCGCTGGTGTTGATTTCTATGGGACCATATCTATTTGAAAATGGGGCTCTAGTGTCATTAGGGTTATTACTTAGGTAGAACCTTAGCTGGTTCTTCAGGCACTAGTTTCCTTAGGAAGGGGTAGTGCCATGGAATGTCACTGTTAGATCTTCTGTATTAGTGTCGTAATTTCTTCTTAACCATGTTTTAGTGGATAACTTGTCTATGGAGAAGAGCCAACTATATGTCTCATGGACTGATAGTTATAATCGTCTGCATACACTGATTTGAGAGGATAGAGGATTTGTTGTACTATATTCCATAATCTAGATCTAGACCTAATTGAAGGGTCATGTCCCTTGTACTGTTTGCTCCGCCACTATGCTCCACTCTCCACTTTCGTTGCTCTGCCCACTTTCTACTCTCGTTGCTCTGCGGGGCTGCTCTACCAACTAAAGTAGGTCGGCTTCTTATTAATGCCAAACCACTAAAGAATTATATTCTATAAATCTAAAAATCATAAGTCACATTTATAGCAAGTTGATCTTTCAAGGTTGACAAGTCTCTCTAGAAATATATTCATTGATTCTCTCAACATTAGACATATCTTACCAACTCTACATGAGATGCATATAAATAACACAAATACCCTTTCTTTTTTGTTTTCTTCTGTATTTTCAGCATCTTTTCAATCTCCAAAACACATGATATTTTACCATCTTTACAAACTATCTCTCACTGCAGATAACACCCACATTTGTTTTTTCCATAATAATACAATCTCCACCCATGTTTGTCTTCAGACAACTAAGTACATGCACAAATTCAGGGGAGAAGGAAAAAATACGATGTCTCTCCTCATCAAGAGGGCAAGAGAACTAGCTCCTAACACCCAAGTTTGTCACCCACACACACTTGAGATTATTGCTGTGAACCCAAATGTACTGAAGATATTTGCTGGCTGATGTGTTTGTACAATAGGTAACTAACCAATGATGGAAATTTGCAAGCCTGGCATAAACCCACCTTGTCTGAGGCCATCTCTTCACCCTCTTCATGGTCATAATTGCTCCTAGAGTACCCTTGCTGCAGCCCATGTATTAGCCATTACCCAAAAACTTAAACTAAAAAACGAAAACTTAAACCCCAAATAACAACAAAAAATCGAAATTCGAACAAGTTTTAGGGCTATGGCTTAGAAGGTAGCCAAAACCCTACAATGTTGAACCTGCGTCGTTGCTAGATTCCCATGGAGGTTGAAGCAACTTGTAGGTCGGGCTGTTGTTTGCTCGGTTTGCGACCGTTGAGGGAACGCAGATTGCTGTCTAGTCCTTGTGAGAGTGTATCATGTGATTTCGACAACTCTGTGGCCTTAGCCAGGCTGCCTTACGAGGGGGCTTGTCGTTCAGATAGAAAAACTGTACAAGGTACAATCCTACACAAGAGTACACTGTGAAGCTGGTACGCTTTTGGCCCACAATAGGGTTCACGTCTTTATTATCCCTAGTATTAAATTGGAGTGTTGGAGTGTGGAGCATGGGGTCACACCTATTGAATGCCTCCCTCACAGCAGGGGCTTATATTGGGAGATTAGCCGCGAGAGCCTACAGCATGCCTGGACAGTCCACCCGGTGAATTTATTTACTTGCAATGCCGCACAAGTTGAATATTAAAACTTTCTTTCTTCTTGTTTGTACAGGCGTTGATAGGGATCTGTTAAAATTCGTGCTCCACCAAGATCCTTAAATGCCATGAGCGGTTTGGAGTTTGAAGCTCTCATAGAATAAGCTAACAGTATTTGGATGCAGTACCGACTTAAGTGTGATTGCAAAGATTGCGGTCTTTAATTTGCGGAAAATTGCTTCTCTGGCATTGCATGATCTGGGTTTGAGTTCCTTCAGATCAATCTAGGAAAATCGTATAAGAACGCGTTAGAATGAATTTGTCATTGGCTGCTGATGTTACAGTTGATTCTTGATAAAGCTTTGCATCAGATAATGATTCGGTTCTCTAAAGGAATAGGAGTTCGAATCATGATTCCATTGTTTACCTGCAGGAGTCAGCCTGTGTCAGGCTTCTGGCATGTATGGTACCCTAATGGCATGAGGCATGCCAGGAGCCTCAATAATTTGGTCTCCTTTCGGAGTTCTGCTGCACCTTGAATATTGAAAGCCCACAGTTGTATGGCAAGAAATGCTCACAATACCCTGATACCATGCAGTATCACAATATAAGTCACTCTGCTTGTTGCAGGTTGACAATATAGTGCACTCTAGATTAAGCGTTCTGTCACGATTCCACTTCAAGCAAATCTAAGCTAGTAGAAGAACAGTGTTATTTGATATACTCTTAGTTCTGAAAGTGGATGTGATAAGATAAATATTTGTAAGAGAATAGTGGTTAAGTAATCTTATTCTGCTACTGATTAGGGGTAGATATATGTCAAAATCAACCGGAAGTGGTTATATGAAAGGAAATCATTGTAAAATGTGAACCTGCCCTTCAAAAGTGCATTGCGTGTTAAAATCTTTCACAGAGGGTTTTGAAATGTCTAATGTCTAATGAAAGGATACACAAGGATACGTTGATATACAACCTCTGGCAAAGATCAAACATACACATAGATACATATATGTGCATATATGTGTATATATATATATATATAGATTGCATCGAAATCTCAGGCCACGAAAATAGGCTATTGGAATCATAAGCAACAGGCGCATTGAAAGAATACCACATACCGTCCCATCATATACACGTAAAACTATCCCATAGTAAATAATGACAAACATTGCAAGGGCAATAGACGCAACGATTTAAAGGAGAGGGGTTGTACGCACAGAAAATTTCAATAGCGGTCTTCATCTGAGACCTAATCAGTACCACCTGAAGAAAGTACCCCTACTTTGCAAGGCAAATAATCAAAAAATCAAGGTGTAGAAGTGAAACAAATCCCTGTGATAATCAGACGATGTATGTAGAAAAGCATGTAAGAGCTGGGCTGGGCTAAGCCAGCCTCCTTGACATAAATACACGACCTAAGTAAGGAAGAATGCACGACACTGTTGTCTCTCGAAAGAGTACCATCCTCCAGACAGCATTGGGGTCATTGCCATCTCTTGCGAAGGGCTCGTTCGCATTGAAGAGCAAGGTTATGCTTTAGTTTGAACCATGTGGAGAGTCGGATCATTGATCGATGCACATGGAAAAACAGTAACACAATGATTCAAAATCAAATTTAAAGGATACACAACCAAAGAGAACATATAAACTCAGAGAAGCCACTAAAATTTTCCTTTTAAGCACATTAAAATATTTCAGAACGGTCATCCAGAGGCGTTTTTGTTAGGGCAACCTTGCAAATTGCATCGAAGAATCTCTGGGCTAAAAACTACAGGCCCCTAAGAACTATTTGCCTAACGACTAGCCAATTAGTTTTCAGAATGAGAACTCCATACATGCTTTACTTCTAACATCAGTCCTTCACCAAATCCCCAACTTAGAGAATTGCAGACATGGAACAGGATGGTACACCAGAATGACGTCTAGAATCACTATTAGACGATATTGCCCCACATACTAGCACAGCTACTATTCACAGCTAAAAGTTTACAATAACGATTAAATAAAAGCACTGCTTCGAGCACAAAAGGATGCACAAGGACACGGTCTTCCTGAGAGACAAAAGATGAGAACCTGAGCTTTCAGGAGAAGGTGATCCAATATCGCAATCGGTACCTGGTTTACAGAGTGCCGCAAAAAGTCGTTCTCTGCTTCTAGAAGACGCACTTACGAAATCGCCACAAGAACTATTGGACAAATATTCCATAAAGCAAAATCCCCTTGTAAGTTCGCACCAGACGTTGAGTTCCCTCAAACCCATTCACATGTTTCTAAACTGGACACTTCTAGATCAAAGCTCTTCCATGCGGAATTAACTCCTAATATATCGAACAAGAAACAGTAGTGTAGCTTGCCCAGTTGTACAAGCTGCTCTGATGTCACGATGGTGGCATGTTCAAAATTCCTATATCCAGTCAAACGAATCACTGAAGAAGGCGCAAATGTGCCTTGTCGAAAATCCTCGCATTGACATACGCAAAATACACACTAATAAAAGATAAGCGTAATTCACAATTCAGAGCTACTTTTCGAAGAGGAAAAAGAGTTATTTACTGCTACCAACATCATCCGACTTCGTTAAACCCTAAATCCTTGATCGCGAAGGAATAAAGTAGAATCTTGAGCAAAAGACCACATGAAAGGCACTTTAAGAATTAGAAGATGATGTTGGTAGCTTGTAGTTTCCGTGTTCTGTAGCTCTCACTCACTGATTGTTCCTGGAGACCCTGAAGCTTGAGTGAGAATTGGTGTCCAGATTTCCTTGAGAATCATCTCATCATGTCTATTAATAGACCTCAGGAAAAACAGGGTGTTGTCCCCTTCGCTCTTGGAGCTTTCAGCTTGATCTACTCTTCTTGCATCGTAGTTCCTAGGTTTTGGTGACATTTTGTAAAACATCGGTAGGGTTTTTCCTGTTCCAATGCTAACTTTGTGACAATAGTACTGCTACTTCAGAGGGATCTGAACTTTGAAGAAATCTACTTATATTCTCCAGCTTACAAGAATTCTGAAGATATTTAGGATATTCTGAGGTTGACAGGTGTAATTTAGGATTCAGGTTTCCTATTTCGAGAGTTTCAAGAGGTTTGGAGGATATTCTGAGGTTGCGGTACAGGATAGACTTCGTCGCTGGTTTAGGGTAATTCTCCTCAACCGCGCTCTCGTACAGTCTCTTCTCTTGTGCAAGGGCTCTGTATTGATTGTTTTTAATGAATTACTTTAAGAGATGCGGATTTCGATGTTAAGATAACTGAGATACCACATACCCGTGGGAGATGATCATCTTGCGTTTTGAGCTTGTTTTGTACGCTAATTCCCCGTGTTCCTTCAATCATGCTCTGCCCTCATCACAAAGTGCCATGGTGTTTCGCTGAATTGTTGCATGTGGAGAATTTTATTAGGTGACGATCAAATTCAGAAATGGGGAGCCAGGGGGGTCACGGCTTGCAAGGAATTATTTTTCTGTCACTTGGATTATGGCATCTTATCTTCTTATTTACAACTTACTTAAGATCACCACGAGAATACACAGCACGGGCATGGTACCCTATTGGTTTTCTGCCATTGCGATTCAAGCACCTGGAACTGCACATCATGCTGTTCTTTCTCCCCTTGGCAATATTTTACGACCTTGGAATCTCGACAACCTATGAACCCATCGCCAGCGGTACAATGCCCACTAGCAGCATCATGGGATTTGAGCACGTCACCATCCTCTTTATGTTCTGGTTGTTCGCGCTGACAGTGCTCGTGAGCGAATCCACACCATTTCTTCCATTTCCCCCTGAGGGATCATTTCTTTTCGCCAGCCTTGCATTTGGATTGCAGTGGCTATCTATCACTCACAGGGGGAGCGAGAGTACGGACTTTGAAAGGCAATGTAGTGGCTTACTTGCATACACCGCTGCTGCATCCGCTGTCTCCTCAGGTATAGAATTTGGACTTTGGTCGAATCACATGTGATATTGTATCATTGTAATTGTGATTGTGGGTGAAATGTTATCTGGTGCACTGTAACAATATAAAAGTTATTTTAGCTTCTTATTGGAATCATGACTTGGGTATGATCTTGTGAATGTGGATTTGCATCAAACCTAGTCCAATACTATTTCTTTTGTCCGGCAGGAGTTCAGATCTTAGACTGAGTTTCTGTCGTTGAATTTTCAGGTTTGCTGGTGATTCGACCCAGGGCTTTTCTTGTGAACTTTGTACTATGTCTCTCTCTTATTCTACAAGGAACTTGGCAGTTCCAAATGGCGCTCGTGCTCTACTCTGAGAACTACATCCCTCTTGGATGTTCGTACGATGCAGGATCGATGAGCAGGCCCGGCTCTTCAACGTTAGCCTCCACCAAATGCAGTGAGGATGCCAACACGCGAGCATCCGCCCTCATGAGCTTTGCATTCAATTGCCATGTCATTGTTGTGGTTTTCCTTTCAGTCCTCACATTTGCCATTATTGCAAAATTCAAAGGCCACCGCCGCAGCGCATCATTTGACTCAATCGCTGCAGAGTTTGAGGCTGAGGCCGAGCTTGTACAACTGAACCAACACAAGCTAAGCTTCGAGAAGAGGTAGCCCTATGGTCTCATGATCAAGTACCAGTTTACGGTATCTGAACCTCGGTAATTCTCCTTTCACGACAAACGAGTCATAGAACGTCATAAAAACCTTCACGCCAAAGCCAGTGACAAAACTTTCGTGTGTCTTCGCAGCTGACTATTAAAACTTCTATCAAATTCCAATGTACAGTTTAGGCCAAGAGCTGCTGTTTAATATTTAAATCTCTCGACGTTGCCTAAAGTTTTTCTCCGTGGAGCGTGCATGATGCTTTCTTTGCGTGAGATAATCCCCTGATTCATGAATGATCCCAATGCAGTGCAAGAATGGAAACCTCAGCTCTACACTCGCTGAACTTTTTCATCTTCACAATGCCATGGCACAGACACTGGAACAGTAGAGTTGTTCCCTTCGCTTTTCTATACTTTTCTTTCACTCAACTTAAGACTCCACCCTCACGACAAATCTCACAGTGAGCAAACTCTGGCATTAGTTGACGGAACAAACTATCGAGTCTGATTGAGACGCAGGACAACCTCCACAGCGAACAGGGTCACTGTTCCACACACCTTTTCTCCCAGTTGCTACAATTTTCTATTTCGCGCAAGGAGAATTAGTACAGTGTGAGACATTCAATGTCACCAGCACTTGTCTTTGTGTACGCAGAAGCCCTAGTTCTACAGAAGTGCATGCTTTGTGTCTAGACCCATTCCTTTGAAAACTTAGTACAATATACTCTCAATCCTTTCTAATTCTACATCATGGTAGAATATGGTTTTCGAGACAGAAAGGTTGTCTTAACTACACGAGAAAGTTAGTGTGAGAGAAACTTATTTTTGAGAGTCAATAATTCAGTTGTGAAATTGGTATTTTAACGATAGGTATTTAACGCTGGTCCAACTTACAATATCCGATGATATCTCTTCAATGCGTTAACCAGAACCTGATGTTTTTCGAGGCATATTGACATAACTACGACATTTTGATAGCGTACATATAGAAACAGCTGACCCCTTCATCCTTGAAAGGTTAATAAAAAAAAAACATCTACAGTTTAGACTGATCTAGATGCTTAAGATTTGCTGCTACAGCCGACTTCGGTGCTCAGATCTCAGAACATCTCGCTGGAGATAAAACTCACGAGTCAGTAAAATATCACACCTTTGTGAACCTTACAATGCACATTTCTATGAGCATTGTGGGCCTTTTCCCATTGACATTTTAATTCTCTAAAAGGATGAATTCTAAATGCTCCACAAAAGCACTAAGCTACGACCACACAGATAATGTGACCAAATTCATCTGGAATTCCTCGAAATACTATCTAGAAGCCTCAGTCAATTGCCAATTCGGGCCTCATAAGTGGAAGAAGCCAAATCTCCTATGAACCATGATGTACTGGAATTGACGTTTTAGCATTGCACATCGGTCATAACTCATGTCTTGTTTGTTGATTCCGTGGGAGCTATCATCTACCTAGTTAAACTCTTCGATTGATTGGTGGGTTGCAATCCTATTCAAATTGAATCAGAAGCTACTGCTGCGCCTCCGAGAACCTTTTACTGAGCGCTTCGGACCCATATTCGCACCGAACATAGAAAACCCCTGCTCACTATGAATTAGACCATCTTTCAAGTCCATATCCGTCATCACATCCAGAACTCGATTGTGTGGAGCAACGGTACCAAGGCGAATCGCGCGCTGTTGATCAGCTATAGTTTTTGCTAGTAAAGAATAGGGAGTGAAGGCCTTCTCAGGAGGAGCAAAAGGAGTCTTCATGGTCTCTGTTTGGATTGGTTTCGGTTTCAGCCATTTCTGAATTTCCAGCACTGTAAGACGTAGTTCACCTGTGCTTTCACTGCCTTGAGCTTTTAGTCCTAGTCGTCTCAAGAGCGCTGCCACTGCTTGACCAGTCCTGTTAACATGAAAATTTGGTGTAAAGGTGAGTGATCCGAGACAAATATGAGCCTTGAAAATCGGAGAGAGAAATGAGAAAGATAGCTATAGAAGATTTAGCAATACGTGACGAGTCAAAATGATAGTATTTGTAACTTAAAAAGATCAACAATTGCATAATAATTAATAGAATAAGAGAGAGATACACACTTGTCAGCCATGGTCATTGAAAGCAGGCCTCCTTTCGTTCTGTAGAACTCTTTCTTTTCCGTATGTAACTTAATTGTTACACCTGGTACCCGGGCACCTAAAAGTCACAAACAGATGATTAAAATGTGTTGAACTAAAATCACACATCGCAGGTCTCTAGTTAAACCCAATTATCAAATGCGGCTGTGGATATCCCTAGACTAATCGAAATGAAGATATTCCTTAATAAAAGAAGATTCCACAAAACTTGTAATTTTTAATGTTGAGTAAGACGATATTTTAGTTGTTCGCTGCAAAGGCAAGACAGACATGTTTCTAGTTTGCAAGGAAATACATTGATACCTGCTGCATGCCGATGTTTGAGACCCTTCAAAATGGTTAGAATGCAGACCTGTGAAAAGATTGAGAAGGTATTGTTATGAAAATGACTTCAGACCCTTCTTACTACTGCAGGTCTCAAAGATGTGACGTCAAATTCAAGGGAAAACTATGAATAGCAAAAAATTTGGAAAAGTAACATCGAATAAACACATGTATGTTTCAAGTACCTCAGCTGCAAAAACTGGCATCATCTCTGCATTAATAACGATTGGCTGGACGCTAGAGGAGGAAATTGTTGGTACGATTTTGAGTGCCGATGCTTCCTGCATTTCCGAAAGCCTGAAGGGTGAGTAGCTTTCGAAACACAGAGAGGACAAACATATGTTGTTTTCACTAAGCCACACTCCAACCTTGGTATTCAGGGCACAGTTATGATTCTGTACTAATATAATATGTTTCTAAGAATTAAGATTGAACTTCAACGTCATCTCCGTATAAGCTTTCAGGAGCAGTGTGTGGCTGACAAGCTAAAACTATCAACGCACTAAAGTTAACTAAAGCTGAACTATCTCATGCATTCCTTTACAGAAGCAGTGATGAGAATCGTACCTCAAAGAGAGCAAGAGCCCGAGGATCATAGATACCGAACCCATCGTAAGGGGTTGAGGATTTTGAAACCTGAGGCTGTCCAAGAAAAGCCATGATAGTCCTGTCATCAAATGTAGTCAAGGCCTTTGTTGATGTTTCTAGTTTACGTAAGCACCCCAGCAACTGAGAGAGAGTCTCAATTTTTGGAGGTGTACCTGCTTCTATGGTCTGGCGATACACAGAAAGAGCCCATGTCGACCTGGAAAGTGGTGGCACTGTCAGATTCCGGATACAGAAGAAAGAAAACGAACAAGAAAAATCACCTACATGACAACAGGCTGACTACATCAGTATTCATACGCTGTGAACATCAAAAACTGGGCCTACCATTGATCTGTTGAAGAAAGGTTGTTGGAATCTGCAGGAACTGGAAGCATGGACCATAATTTTTGAGGAGCTGCAGCATAACTTTGAATTTGTTGTAAACAGAGGCCTGCAGAATGGATTGATCATGCTTCTCAGGAAATGTCTTCTACGAGGATTGAGAGAAAGTATTCAGATATATTGAGGGTCATACAGCTGGATCCAATCTTACTAAAAATGTCCAATGATAACAGTTACAAGCAAAAATCTATAGATCATTGCTATGTGCAACGCGGATGCAGACTGGTAAACCTCTTCTGAGCATACATACATAGACAAACTAGATGAAAACATCACATGACAATCAGTGATGCCCACATTGGCGAAAGATTTTAGATTACTTGCGAAGCCATTTGCAATGAACGCACCTGTGATGCTGTCACAGATGCCTACATTCGGCTTGATGCCCTCTGACAATGCAGTCATATACAGGTCAAGAGCCATATCGGCCATTTTCTCCCTGCACATTCATATTATGTCTCAATAAGACTATTGTAGTTAAAATGTTACAACATCACCTTAAATTACTCTTTCACTGATTCTCTAGTTGAGTATTAAGATGGAGAAAAAAGAATAGCATTGATCCTTACTTTTCACAGGCCCTTAATAAAATGCTGTAGGAAATTTGATTGGGCATTATCCCAGAGTTTTTCACGTCTTGAAGAATTGATAGAGCCCGGGTAAATTGATTCGCTTCACCTGAGCCAGGAGACGACACATAAAAAAGTGATATCGTTAGTGCGGGTTGACCAAAATATAAAACTTGCCCAGGTATATATATTACCTGCCCAGGTATATAAAACTTGCCCAGGTAAAACTTCACAATTTCAGGGAAATAAACGATATCTACCAAAGATAAGCCACAGGACGTCGCAAAAAATAAAGATAAAAAAAAAAAAATAAAAAAAATAAAAAATAAAAAATCAAGAACAAAAGGAAACAAAAAGAAAGAGCAGAAGGCTGCACAAGCGACTTACAAAGAGCTGTCATGAGAGCATTGAACGTCGACACAGTGGGCTGCAATCCAGAAGAACGAATGTCTTGGTATACTTCTAATGCTTTTTCCCAGTTCCCTAGCTGCGCGAAACACGAAAGGTATAAGAGGCCCTTCAGAAAGAAGATTGTGGCGCGTCAACTGAACAGAAAAATAACTAATTTAAGAGGTAAAAGGTACTTCGATAAATTACATTGCTGCAGACGCCCATGAGAGAACTGTAGACAACTGCTCCAGGTTTTAAGCCCTCTTTCTTCATGTTGGCGATTATGCTGAAGGCCTTCTCAATATCCTGGGCATGACCAGCAGCGTCGACTAATGCGCTGAAGAACACCTGCTCAAAGTAATTACTTTCAGTCTTTAACGTTACGTTCATTTCACAATCCTATATTAAGAAACTTCAAGTGAGTACTTAGAAAACCATCAACACATTTTTTTGTAAGAGTAACAAAGAGGTCTTTCTAACTAATTCAACTAATACAACACATTCTTGCGGTACTCCACTAAGAGCTAAATCTCATACCCACCATCATTGGGTCTCGTTTGCTTAATTTACAAGAAAAATTAACCATACCTCATCAGGTTTCACTCCATCTTTCTTTAGGTCATCATAAACTAAAAGAGCATAATCCACATTGCCTTTTTGACTGCAAGCATGCACAACAGCAGTGTAACAAGCAGGGGATCCCTTCACATTGCTTTCGCGCATGTTCTGGTAGACTTCAAGAGCCCTGTCCACCTGCACTCACATAGTCTTAAAACTCCTTTAAACAACTTCAATTAAATATAGATGCTATTGATTCAAGATACACGACTGGTACTAAAAAATAGCACTTGAAGATTCTAAACCTTAAATTTTCTGAAGGAAAGAACAAATAATGCAAAATCCTCCATGGATTCCAGTAACGCAGCAATGAATATCGTTTCAAATGATACCTCGCCTGCACGTGCACAAGCAGAAATAAGAGCACCGTAGGTGACGTGATCTGGCTTTATGGGTGTTGCTTCTGCTTTCATGTCCGTCAAAACATCAAACGCTCTTTGGACAGCTCCAGCCCGAGTGCAGGCGTTTATAAGAGTGTTGAAAATGACCCGATCAGGCTTGACGTTCTTGTACACAGATTGTGAACAATTACACGATTTAGCCCACCTTCTACTGAAATAATACTGGATCTACAGTTGAAGCTACGCATAAATCGCACTGTAATGCGGCTACAAACTAAACCCAAACGTATTACAGGTGAGGTTTTAGAATTACCTTAGATATCATGATACCATATGCTCCAAAAGCTTTGGGCAGTTGTCCGGCGCGGGCACACCCATCAATCATTGCTCCGAAAGTGTGAACATTCGCTTCGATGCCTGCCACCTCCATCTCATGAAAGATCTGGAACACAATAACCCCATTTCATTGGGTTTGAGGCTTTCAATCTGACTGCCGCAGTCACATTATTCAGTTCCTTAATTGTTGACAATACGGCAGAGCTATAAGAGAATTGGTAAATCCGGTTCACACCTGAAAGAGGAGGTCCACTTTTCCAGCTTTGGCGCAGGCAGAGATAAGTGAGGTATAGAACATGCAATCCGCTTTCAACCCTCTGCTTTCTAGTAACGCAAGCACTCTTAATGCTCCTGCCGCACAAGAATTACACGTCACTAGAGATACTTTGCAGGTTTTCTCGCAATCGAGACACCTAGTGGGGACATATGAACAATGTCTGAGATCAGAAACAACCGCTACTTGACCAGGTTCTCCGCAACTTTGTTTTCATTTATAAGTTAATCTCTGTAAGCAAAGAAGTGCATCACCATGCTCACCGTCGATGTCTTTTGCATGACAACAGACTGAGAGAAGCATTGTATAATGCTGTAACGTTGAGAATTCACGCATTAGTTTCGCAAAAGCGAAAGCATCTTCCACGGATCCTCTCGCTTTACAAGCTTCATAAAACTTAGAGTGATTCACCTACAAATCACACGTTGAAGGAGGGGTAAGTGTCACATCTGACAACTTCAATTTTCAATTTTGCGGAGCTCATGCCCGCATTTAATGCCAAAGTCGTCACAGCACTGTCTTAACCACAAAGGAAGGAAAAACCAGTATAGGAGAACAAAATAACCTTCATCCGAGCAAGTTTTCCCGCCTTATCCATTTCTCCTAAAAGTTTGAGACAGTCTTTAATCCTGCCACACTCAATTCACCGACTCAATCTCAATGCACAATGCAACGAAATAAACTATACAGATCACAGCATCAACACCACCGAAATCTGACACAATAAATCTATGTCATGAAATTGAGATTCCGACTGCATAACACGGGACTAAGGTTAGCGAAAATTTATGACGTACGGGGTTTGAGGTTTAACATAGTAATCATCAGTGACGCACCTATGCGTCTCAATGAATAAAGAGCATTACAGAATAATGAGCTACTCGCAGCTATGCAAAAGTATACCTGCCCGCCTTCAGCATCGAAGCGTAGACGTCGATGTAGAATTTGATGTTTGTCTCGAGTTTCAAGGGAAGCAACTCCAAAATTGTGGAGGGTAAGACTCTGCTGCCCTTTTGCAAAGTTTTTACCGATTTCTTTCTCGATCGCTCCTCAGTAATTACGGAGTTTACTTTCACTGTAACTGTTTCGGCAAACGAGCCATTCATGTCAACAACAGCAGCTCCTTCGACGCCACCAGTACTGTCAAAGGAATCATAGTCTAAGCTATCTAAGTAATCTTGAGTAAAAAGGAATTCCTCAACCAATTGCCTGCCTGAACCCATCGCTACCCAATCCAGCTCCCGTCTCTCAACCACCGGCAATGAGCCATTTGCATTCTCACCCCCCTTCGGAATGCTTCCATTGGTGGATGAGCCATGGGAGAGTGCCAGCGTCTCCAACTCGCTCCCACCACCTTGTGAGACCCTTTCCACGCATTCCAAAGACGCCCTCAGCGCTGCCCCATTCGTGGAGCTCTCCGCGTGATGCTCCAAGGCGGCATCCTCTCGGGGCGTCGCGAGCAGCGGCGAGCTTATCCTAGTACGCGAGTCAGTAATACCGCGCAAGCACCTGGCCGAATTGGGAGAATGCAAAAATCTACTAGAGGGCAGAGGAGGCGCGATGGAGGAAGGCAACGTACACAGCCGATTTCGCTGCAATTGCAACACAGGGGAAGCTGCTGAAGCCATGGCAGCCAGACCATGACCGCAAGAGCACATCCAAATCCCAAAATCAAACAAACAAAACCAAAAAAAACTCCTCACCCCGCACAATTACAACATTAATATCCTTCCACAATGTACGATTCTAACAACAACATAACACTAGCCCTCCGCCAAATCTCAAATCCTTCCCAGTATATCAGAAGGGGGGGTAACAAAACGAAGCAGGAGAGGAAGAGGAACAAGACGAGTCGGTGGAGAGAATGCCGCTAAGAAAAAAGACGCACGAGAGAGAGAGAGCAAGCAAGCAGGAAAGGAATTGGGAGGCATAGGAAGGGGAGAAGATTGATCGGAGAAGGGGAGGATAGAGCAAATGCTGCAATCTGGACCTCACTCGCAAGCAGCGGAGGATTTGCTACCCCATCCCGCCTCCGTCCTCCCCCCTCCCTCCCGTCGCTATCTTCATCCCCCCACCCCTCTCCTGTCCGACGTGGCTCACTAGATCCCTCCGACGTGGCCTCCTCCCCCCCAACCTCGCCTTTCCTTAACGGCCCCAGTGGGACGTCCCCCCTAACCTCGCCTTTCCTTAACGGCCCCAGTGGGACGTCCCCCCTAACCTCGCCTTTCCTTAACGGCCCCAGTGGGACGTCCCCCCCAACCTGCGGGCCGGGTAGAACTGCCCGGTGCTTGATTGGACCCCGCCCATCCTATCCCACGTTTCGGAAGGAGTGACAGAAAGGGGACGGGTCGTAAAATTACTTTGCTCTCGCCTCTTTTGCTTTTTGGGGGTGTGCATGGTATTATCCAAAAGAACATGCGAGCTTCTTTTTGCCTTACGTTGTGTTGAGGAACTTTGCCCTTTCGTGAAGCATGCTGTGTTGCTGATAGATGTTGTTAATGATGACACAACCTCTGTGGGAAAAAAAAAAAAAAAAAGAAAAAAAAAAAGTAATAGATTCTTACTGTATTTAATGCTCTATTAGATATTTCTTTCAGTATAAATATACTAGCTGAATTTATGTTGTTGTCACAAAAAAATATGCAAAAAAATTTTTTTATTAGAGATTGGATAAATATCCAATAACAATAATAATGATTTTTTTTGTATAAAATTGAGCTTTAAGATACGTATAAGTATACATACTTACATACATATACTTAATAAATGGGGTTGTAATTAATAACAACATATACTTGTGTTATTTTAGAATTGTCATGGTGTCATACTTAGAACAATTGATCTATGAAAAACTATACATGAGATGGTTTCAAAATACTATAATAAAAAGAAGTGATCCACCTAATTAAAACTCCTATCCAATCCAAAAAAAAGTTGACAAAAATTGTTTATTTATTTTTGTTTATTTATATGCAATTGATTTAATATTTACAAAATGCTAAGTCACATAACAAAAAAAATAACTCCCCAATAGTATATTTTGGTTTAAATCTACAAAATGTACCATAAAAATTGTTACAAAAATAGAATTGCAATATAATCTAAGAATAAGTTATAACCTTATAAATCTAAAACATAAAAATAATTCCTTAGCAAGGTCACGTACAATTGAATCCTAGACATACCAATTTTTTTGAAGTTTTGTAATAAGAGTGTCCAAAAGAACAAAACTACATATTGTGAAATTTGTCCATCGTGGCTTGAAGCTCACAAGTATTGCACATAGCCACTATAGTGAGGCAAGCAAAAATACAAAGAATCATGATTGAAAATGTCTCGCTGTCATATTTCATGAAATTTGCTTGAGAATGTATGGGGCACCTAGTTGTTGAAGGTTAAATGGACCTTGCAACAAGAAGATCCTAACAACTTTAATAGAATCCTAAACAAATTCTAATTAAATTATAACAATATTAATTAATCTTTAATTAAATCTCAAAAGAAGTCTCAAAGAACCTATATAAAAAAATATAAAAAAATCTTAAATTAATATTTAAATATAAATATATATATATATATATATAATTATAAAATATATCAAAATAAACTTTAAAAATATTTAAAATAAAAATCCTAATTAAATCCTAATCAAACTTTAATGTAATCTTCAAAAAATCTTAATCAAATTCTAATCCAATCCCAACAAATTCTAATGAAATTCTAATGAAACCCTAATTAGATTCTAGGCCAAACCTTGATGAATCCTAACCAAATCCTAAACCCTAATCTTAAATCAAATTCTAATGAAATCTTAAACCGACTTGAACCAAATCCTAATGAAATCCTAAATCCTTATCAAATCCTAATCAAATCTTAATCATCTACTAAAGCTATTTTGAAACATCAATAAAAATTAATATAATTATTGATCTTAACTAAAATTTCATCTAAAATTTAATCCAAAAGCAATTTACAATCACACAAAAATTGAGAAGAATCAAAAACACCAATTGAAAGAATACTCTCCAAACATCTTGGAGGTTGGTCATCTTCCTTCTCCAACTTAAATGTTCATCTTCCAACAATTTTTTTTCTTGCTAAACCATGCAATTGTTCCAAGCATTGGCTAGTATATAGTTATTTAAGTCTAAATTTATCTCACATATTTTTACTTCAATCCAACTAATGGATGTTGTAAGATTGCAAAAATCATCATTGATCCTAAATTTCAATTATCCAAGTCCATAATCCACAAAACTCTCACAACCTTCAATCTAACTACTTAATTAACATCAAATTTCTTATATATATTTATAACAAGTAAAATAAAAATTTGACAAATTTTTACTTGTAAATAAATTGCAATACTCACAAAATCATCAAATTTATAAACTTCTTTTTATTTCTTAAAATCCAAATCCACTAAATATACCTTTCACTTTGAAAAGCTTTCAAAACCTCAATATATCTTCAAATCATATGAAATCAATTCTCAAAAATCCTCTCACAAGTCTACTCTCAAAATCTTATTTTTTAATTGATCAAAAAATCCTAGAATCGCCGTAGATGCACAATTTTGTACCTTGAGGTTTGATTTCAACCTTACTTTATAGTCTGTCCTCTCGAGATATTAATTCTTATTAATTTGAGATAAATTATATTTCAACCTATTATTAGCTCTCTTCTAAAGATGCTAATATTAATTAATTATCTCATCTACTTAGATTTGGCTCATTTATGTTGCTACAAAGTAAATAGAAATGCTTTCTTCAAAAAGGCAACATTAAGACTAAAGCTTTTACTACCTTCTTGTCATTTATTATTGTTTTTATACTATATCTTTCTATTGGGTTTTTTTCATCATAATATCCATATTTTTAATTTTCATCATATAGTCATACTACTACATGACATTGCCACATCATTCAATTAAGTTTTCAATAAAAAAATTTGCTTTATTATTTTCACTAAAAATTTCAGTTTATCAATATTAGGATCTTAGCTTCTTAAGCATTTCACCTTACACATTAATAGAAATTTTTTGCAATCATATTCTTCAAAACTGATTCTACATTAATATAACAACAAAGTTTAGAAACAAAAAAAATTTGTAGATTGAGAAAATATTATAAGAGATAGTTTATCTTTTATAAATTAAATCATGGGCTTAATATACAATTAATTACACATGTAAAATAATCCAATCTGCTTTATTTATCTATTTATGTATTATTAATAAATAATATTTTATTATTGGTGATCTAAAAAATTATTAATTACAACTCAAAGTATTCAATGATATTTGAAATATAAATTGATACTTCACCAAATCACCCACCTTGCAAGGTGGGCAATTTTAAAATCCAAATATTAAAAAAAGGGCAAGTGAAATATCAAAAAAGGTCAAGTGAAATATCAAAAATAGTATTGCTTGTCTTAACTCTCTTTGACTCCATACTATACTGCTCTTTTACTTTTCCAAATCACCAAAATATTAAGTGATACTTCAAAAACTTGAAGATGGTAATAAAGTTTGAACAAAAATATTTTAGATTTAATATTTTAAGGAATCCAAAAAATATTACTAGTGCATCTTAGTTATTTGGTTTTGTAAATGTGTCATGTTTGAATTTCCCTATTTATATTACTTTTTAAAAATAAAAAAAATTCTAAATTAAATTTCATGAATTAAATATTTTAAGCATATCAAATTGATATAGATACTTGTTGATTTTATAGAAATTTTTTAAATCTTTATATGAAAGTATTGTTTGATATTGTAGAAATATCATAAATATTTCATTTTGTATATTTAATACATTGCATGCATTTATAATTCTTGCAAAGAAATTTCACCATTTCATAAATTTAATTATTTGGTATCTAAAAATTAACTTTATTAATTACGTGGATTACCAACCACACAATGTATAATAAATGATTTCCAATTTTCATATATTAGTGACAATTTCACGTGGCATTAGAGAAAGATTTTATTTTATCTTAAACACAAATAAAATTTGAATTTTTATAATTTTTATTTATTAGCATATGTTTATTTTATTTTTCAAAATAGATTTATTAACTTAATTTATTGCCAATAAATGACATCTTTAATTGAATTAACATATACACATATAAATATAATTTTTTAAAATCATTGTCATTTATTATCACAATTTTATTTGTATTTTATTTAATCTAAGTTCTTGATTCATCTTTAACTATCAAAGAAATATAAAGATATGTGAAACCAAACAAAATTAAAAGATGTTAAAAATATTCTTCATAATATAACATTGCATAGAAAGTTTTAAAACTTTTTGTAGTGTTCAATATACTATATCTTTTTTCATTTGCTATAAGAAAGTAGATAAAATATTGCAATATGCCTAGAAATATTACTCAAAGAAAAAATTTAAGAAAATTCTATAATCTCAATCTATTTTAGAAACACAATTATTGTTTAAGTAATGCTTTTATTTAGTTGCATCATTAATTTGTTTAAATTTGATGGTGCTTTTCAATATTGATCACTTACTTCAACATAGTTCATAGCTTCTACTTGCATAGATGGAGTTTATTAGCAAAATGAAAAGTCTAGATTGCATTTGTCCACCAATATATTTGTCTCATTGTTGACAATCTTTGACAAAAATTTATAGAAATTTAAATTAGTCACTTGTAGAAGAGTTCCAACTTCAAGCTTAGATATATTACAAATTTCTATCAACTAAGCCCTATCATAACCACTTTAGAGACATGCCATATGATAAAGAACAAATTTACCAAGCAACAAGAAATTTGATTGTAGGATGAATGATATTATCAATAGCGTGCAAATGCTCAAATGCAACACTTTAATAATTGTGAGAAAAACTTCTTTGTTCTACTACAAAGTTATGTATGTGAGCACTACAATGAGTCTTAATACATGTAACCTCTTTACAAAGACCTTTAAGAATACATCAAGCTGAGAAGTCTGTTCCAACATATAGCTCCCATGCACTGATCCATACACCAAGTTATAATTGAGTAAATTTTAGAATATGCTTACAGTTGCCTCAACTGAGAATTGTTATCATGCATTCCAATGTATTCTTTTGATACAATCAACATTAATAGGCCATATGAATTTTAGTTTTGGTTCATTTTTTTCTGAAAACAATGAAGCATACAACTAATCAATAGGCTGTTTTGTCTCTTCAATTTATTTTGTGTGTTTGTTCCTCATGAGTTTTTTTATATAAAAAAACAAATATATATATATATATATATATATATAAATTCATTTTTTGGAATTATAAAAAAAAGTATCATTTATATTTTTTTTGATTGATTTTTGAGAATGAACAAAATTTATGGTGTAGTCAATATATGTTAAAATCATACTTTGTTATTTTATAAATTAGTACGTGAAAATAATACTAAATAGGATTTGGTACCAAGAATAATAGTAGAAGAAAAAAACTTGATTTATTAAATAGTTTAGTATATATAATTGGCTATTTAAATATTTTTAGAAATAAAATTAAATCAACTCAATAAATAGATTGATGTGATTTAAAACAAATAAAAAAAATACTTAATGCATAATAGTTGATATTGAATTTCTTTAAAATTTTGAATAGTATTATTGGTTATTGGAGATTTTGTTAAAATATCACAATATCTTTTTAGAAATCATAATAGTATCTAAACTATCTAAATCTTAAACTCTAAATCCTAAATCTTAAAAAAAGAAGATATTTTGGTTGTTTTAATTTTAAAATGTATTTTTGAAAATATTCCAATTTATTTCATTTTTGATTCCTTATTTTCACTTTGTTACTTATTGTAAAAAGAATTCTAGAGGAAAAAAAATTAATTGTTGCACAATATGTCTAATTTCAAAAAATGGTTAATATCAAGGAAAGAATTAGATAAAATAAATAAATAGATCTTACACATAATTGATGTGGGTCATTGAAAGATAATCAACTCAAAGTGTGAAATTATTATTATTATTATTATTACATTTCATTTTATTCAAACACTAATCTAAGCATGAATAGAAATGGTTAAGTTAAATTAAGCTAAGGAGTCTTTATTGGGAAAATAATTTAGACTTTATTTTTTTAGAAATATGTCATACTTAGATTTATATTCATAAAGTAGTTATCTCTGTTTAATACATATATTATGTAACATATTTAAAGTTGTTTGCATGACGTGTTGACTTTGTTTGTCAATAGTATTATTATTTCAAATTTACAGATATGTTTTGGTGCATCAAATAATCTCTTAAGAATTAACTTTAAATAAATTCTTATTATTCCGTATTCTTGATTATTAAAACAATCAATAATTTGATTATTAAAAGAATTGGATCATTTTTGGATGTCAATCAGTATGTATTTGATGTGTGCATTTTTTACTACATATTAAATTACAAATAATATATGAACCAAGTAAAGGTAACCAATATTTAAGTAAAATAATATTCATGCAATTTTTATTCTTTTTCTTTCTTCCATCTGTACTGCATTTTAAATCAATAAATCTCAAACTACAAAATGCTCATTCAAAGTTTTTTATTGTGTAATTTTTGATAAAAAAATGATTCTGAGACTTTAGAAAAAAAACGTCATATTTATCATTCACTGGGGAAAATATATCATGTGTCATTTGTTCAAAATATCCATCACCAAGTAATTGGTTTATATTTGATTTTACAATGAACAATTTATTCTTAAAAACACAATTAAAATCAATAAGAACATATGTTTTGTGTAATGATTGATTTGGATTTGGTGTATGCCTTTACATGCATAATATGTGACATGTACACGTTGAAATCATTTATATATTTGTCAAATCAGGGGGTTTTCATTATAAATTTAAATAAATAAGAAAAAAATAAAGGTGAGTTTAAATTCGATGATGGAAATGTTATTTGAAAGTCAACAGATTAATTCAAACAAATAATATTTGCATACATACATGTTTTCACACATTAAGCACAATTGGCTAACCAAACACATCATCAAAATCCTTGGTTTCTATATAAATATACTGACATGTTATTTTACATATAAATGTATAATTATTACTACCAAATATACATAAATGATCATATCAATGTATGTTCAAGATAGTAAATTTGATATTTATGAAAAGCACTTCAATCAATAAAAAAATAGAACCATTTATAATTTTCCATTTGTCAACAATTACTAAAAACATTTATTAAAAATATTGAAAAATTTCACCCACTATTTGACTGAAGTAAAATAAACGATATAAATTTAGTAATTGTTATTATTTAGAAATCATAAGTCCACAATAGAAAATTGAACGTATAATTATCCTGAAAATTAACACTACCAAATATGTGTCTATCATATGATAAGAAATAATGACCATGTGAATGTTTCTTATTGAGAAACACTGTGGTATTGTCCCAAAGAGCAGACCACAGTCCACCTGATGCGTTATCATTCATCCAAACAAGATGCACGCATCTCATCCATCCAAGTATTCATCCACGAAGTCGACGACGCATTCATTCCCGCACATCCATCCATCGACGTGGAATTGTTGCCGCGACACAGAATCGCAGCAACAGTTGCCGATGCGGAGAAACGCGGAGACTGCGCGGCGATCTGAAGCCAGCATCCCAGAGGAATTTCCGGAAGCAAACGATGTGGTATGAATGTAAGGAGCCTCAGCGGTGACGAGCAAGGAGCTGCGGCGAAGTGGAGCCAATTCAGCTGCCTTTTGCACGCTCGCAGGGCCACTTCCATCGGTATTGATAGATTCTCGGGTTCTTTTTCCGTGCTGTCCAAGCGGAACATCTCTGTCCTGGGTGTGGATGCTTTTTAACTTCTTTGCATATTTAGTAACTGGATTGGGGTCTCGCAGCTCGTAAGCGAGCGCGCGCGGTCTCATTTCCAGTGTTTAGGTTCAGAGACTAGGTAGATTGCCAGGAACCAGTTCTGTTTGTTGAATTTGGAGCCGTTGTCGTCGTAAATGGAGGGTCGTACTGTCGCAATTTTCTAAGTTTTGATGGCTGGTAAGCTAGTTTCCGTGGAACAAAGGGTTGAGTTTCTTCTCCAGGGGGATAGTCATTCGCGTGAGAATAAGAAGAGGTTTTAGTGGCAGCATTGTGTATTGAGAATATCAGGCTGCTGCTCGCGTTTATAGTGAACCCTACATGAACCAACAATTTGTCACCAGGTTCGTATAGCTTTTTCGTTGCTTCGGTATCAGTGGACATACCACCTCCATGTTATTGCCATTGGATTTCAAGCAATATTTGGCATGCTTGAATGCTCCATAGGATCACTAGCTGCGGTGTCTAGTTTTTTTTTTTTTTTTTTTTTTTTTTTTTCTCTCCTGAAGTTTGGGGTGTGGAATCAAGCATCCATGGAAGCTATGCGCACAACGAGTCTCGCTCGTCCACTGTCATGGAAAGATTCCATTTCATCATTCCTGCACAGTGATTATGATACGACGATGCAATTGCAACGAGGAAAATCAGGTCCTGGTCTATGTGCGGTGGCCCCGAGTGGGTTTGGTTTCGTTGGTTTAAAGGGCAATTCCAGGAGTAATCAATTGTGCCCCATCTCAAGGCCAATTAAACGTTTTCCTCAATGCTGCATTAGATCGGCCCTCACTTCACATTATTACTTAGGTCCAAGAAGACCTACTAGTGCGCGTGCAATTGCTGGGAAATCGGCCCCGTCGAAGCTATCTGACGACAGTGGGGAGAACCGCATCCAAGCAAGAGCGAAGAGGTTGCAAGATGCAGTTGGGCCTAATAAGACTCTCCTTGATGCTCAGGCACGTGTGTGCACTGGACCTACACAAACTAGGCCTTTAGATGAAGCTCAAGCTTACAAAGTGCTCAATACTGTTCTTCAGTCAGGTACCCTACTCTCACGTGCTCGACCTTGTGTTTTCCCCTTATTTTGAAGCGAACTCAAATTCGAATGATCACATTACTTTCGTTGTTGATGGTTGGGGAAAATGAATAATAATCTTCAATCTACAAATCTTTCTGGAAAAACAGTTCTGGTTTTTTCTTGCAAAGGTTCTACCACTTCTATGGAGGCCTGCTTGAGCTGTTATTGTGCGAGCAACATTTTATGTACTCATTATCAATTTAAGCAGAGGTTTGAAGCCAATCCTGGCTCAAATATAGAGGATGGAATCCAAGAAAAGGGTAGAGTGTTGTCACGTGTATTGATGCATATTAGTGTGACTGCAGGAAGAGGAGAGCTTCCTGATTCTGAGAAAGTATCCAAGGCACAGTTGGGTGCTTTCTTTGGTGCTATGACATTACGTGCAAATTGCTTCCCACCCCCAACTCGATGGAGTGACGGAGAACGGAAGGCCATGTCTGAGCTGTGGCCTGCTCTTAGTAAGTGCCTGCCGGAGGAGGTTCTTTTCTTGGCAGATCCCGAAGGATCCATCATGGGAGAGCCTTCTGATGTTGGACCAAACTTTTCAGGAAAGTCTCCCCCTGATGTTCAATTGGTGAGTGCCTTACGACGAGTCATGGGAGGAGGCCACCTGGAGCAGGAGGAATTGGCAAATTTACTCAGAGGGGTTCTTCCTCTTCAAGGGCCTAAGGGTGAAGTTAGTGATGCATTGCTTGCGGCGTTTATGATATGCTCACGTATGAATGGGGAAACGGAGGGAGAGCTGAATGCTTACTGCATGGCTTTCGATGATGAATTAGGTATTTAGTTCTATTCTCTCTTAGTTCGCTATTAAGTATGTTCTCAGTGTCGTATCGAGCTATTGAGATTATAGAAAGTTTCTGGAAGGCGAGATGGTTTTACGTCAAGGCACAAAGAATGTAGGACTTTTCTAGTCTGGATAAATGTGTAAATATATACATGTTTTTCTGAAGTAGTGTCCCTTGAGCGCAGACTCGTTGCCAGTTGCAAAAGTGAAGTCATTGACACATTATGGAGAGCCATATGATGGGAACACGCGGTTCTTCCGGAGCTCTCTCTTTGTAGCAGCTGTACGTGCTAGCTATGGAGAGACTTGCCTTCTGCACGGAGTTGATTGGATGCCTCCTAAGGTAGGTCGTGTTTATATGCTCAGCTACAGTTGCCACATGTCAGCAGTGCGTTGCATTGGGCAACTTTTATTTTCCAGAAGATTTAGAGTCGAATCATGATCAAATTTCTGTTACCTGATCGTGAATGATGCATTTTACATGCAGGGTGGCGTTACAGAGGAGCAGATGCTGAAATACATGGGTGCTAATACCTCCTTGACACTCAAAGAAGCAGTGAAACTCCTTGAGGTTTGTACCAATCGCTCAATATCTCTTATGTACCAGTGGTAGCGGCGGCACTAATTCGTTATTGTTACTCAGTTGTGGAGACACTATGGGTAAATTTTGTTTAGGTTGTATCGGCTATTGTGTAACCATAATTTATATGGATCCAGTCTTTGATTTCTCTGCTGGTAATTTCAATTATTGAATGGCATTTGTACCGGAGAACTCACCTGTTACTGACAATCTCAGTTATTCTGCATGGTGCAGGATAAAGGAGTAGGATTTGCGTATATCAGCCAACGGGAAGCTCGACCGTCATTGTAAGTGTTCTGCAGTATGCTGAAATCTACACCTGCATTGGTTGTCATTTGTTTTTAAACTGGAGCAGAAAAAAAAAAAGAAGGGATTTGGTACATTTTCTCAAATATTTTGCCCACGAATTGAAATGAATTAATTGGTTCTAAATAAACGTATGAACTGGCTTGCACGAGTTCATACCGCTATGTAGAATCCATTCATGTTATGGACGAAAATTTGAGTATCTTTGACTGAAACGTGTAAAACATCGAGCACCTGTGGACATCGGACTTAGTCATAATGTCACTGCAGAATGCCGATCCTTGATTGAGGATAGATTTAGGCAGAAGAAAACTCATCCGTTGATGACTATGTGCTCCTTCTGAAGATTTCTGAGTTTCTGGGTAGTATATTTGGAATGTCGACTCAGTTTGTGTATCCATGCAGGCATTCTCTGGTGGATTTAAGGGAACATATAAAGAAACGACCACCTATTGCTACCACCGAAAAAGTGCAACGTTATATTAAGGTTTCCTCGAACCAAGCACTGTCTTTCATAATTGGTCAATGTGACGTTCTCGCACTACTAAATCCAGTCTGTGAAACTTGCCACTGAGACGATCACTAGCATGATAGCTGGGGGGTTTATTTTGTTTAGTGCGAGAGCATTCACTTCGTATTAAAACTGATAGCATAATTTTAGAATGTAGTGACATGTGTTTGGATCAGTTAGAGAACTAGTCTCATCTACTATCTTTTCCATACATAGAAATTTGACTACCGTGAGTGGATGCCTTGAGTTGTTGACCGTTGCATCCATAGAGGTTCACGTAATCATAATAGTGTGGCTTGCTGTGCAGGCCACAGGTCGCGAAGCGATGATAGCTAGCTTCTATCACGAGGGCTATGAAGATCCTCTCTTAATGCTTATACGCAGAAGAGGAGTTAAGGCTGGTCTTGTCGTCAAGGTTCGTATTATTTTGTGCTCAGAACCTCTAAGTTTCAAAGATCAGACCGACGGGAGGTTTGGGATCTAGTTTTGTTGGATGTTCTCCGTCTAAATTTGTGAGTTGATGGATACTATGTCGAAGATGTTTATATTCATCTTTACTCAGTGGAATCACTTAGAATCGTTTTGCTTCTTTTTGTTCCCTGCTTCAAATGAAAATCTTTTATATGTCTCTTTTTTCTCCACTTGATTGTTAAAAGTCGTTAGTGCCTTTGAATTTGGTGTCATAGGTAGTGATATGAATGGCACACTTCTCTCTGATGTTGAAGTCCTAAATCTTTCGTGCTCTCATCGATTTCTTTAATTTTGATTGCTTTAGTTGCACATGTCATTAAGATGAACTTACTTCGCAGGGAGAGGAAGGGGCTTTGTCTCTTACAACGAAAGATAGGTCACCTGACGCTGTGGTGAAAGGGAGACCATTAAATTATGTGGCTGGATTCAGGCCTCAAAAAGCCTCTAGTGCTGCCAATAATGATTCAGGTCTGTTCAACTATTTGTTTAGTTGCATGTGATGTCCGTGGGTATAAGTAGTGTTGCTTTTAAGAAGCAACTCCTCTTCATCACCGTTTCAACATCCACTATAGAGTGATTTTCTGGTTTGTGTGTGTGTGCCTCGCAGGAGTTTTGAAGGAAACCTTCACCCTTGAGTTGAATGCTAGAGATTATGGAATTGCTCCTACATCTACGCCACGAGTTGATAGATCGGTAGGGACCCTCTGGATTCCATCCGGCATGTTTTTAGAAAAAGCAACTGGCTCTTTTCAAAGAAAATTCATGTCAAGCTGTGGTAGATATATGTTTGATTTCACCTGACACTACCGAAATTTATAATGTTGTACCTTTATTTTTTCATTGGTTTCTCTCTATGATATATGACTCAAATAGGTCCGGAATATGCAGGTTGAGAAAAACGTAGAGTTGGGGATGGCAGCGCTTAGAGGAGAAAAGGGACCTGCATATGATCGTATCGTTCTAAATGCAGCTGTGGCAGATCATCTACTTGGATGTGAGGGTGCGGAAAGCCCTCTAGATGCAATCGAAAGAGCAAAAGAAGCCATCGACAGTGGGCGGGCATTGAATGCGATATTGCACTACATAGACAGAAGTAAATGGTAGCGTCTCTCCCACAAGTTTCTTTTCGCTCTTCTGTACAAGACAAATTCGTGGGATCGCCTGATTAGTTCGCTTGCGACGTTTGATGCTTCTATCTTTGCTCTTTGCCCTTTTCATCAACTCGTTTTATTTTTGTATCCAGGCCAGCCGGCACACCATCACCATCGACCACTTGAAGAAACTAAAATGAACGGAGATTTATTGTGTGTTGATCAAGGAATGAAACCGACAAACGGAGGAAAATAGTTGTTAGGTCTTGAAACGAAATCTGTGACGTCCATTGTACACTTAGTTTCTAGCAGCCTTCTTAAAGCTGCTACCACCTGACTGCATGTGGCTAAAGTAAGGAATGATACATGTTCAATTCCCATTTGTAGGACAAAATTTCCTCATTTACTAAACCTCTGAATAGGAATTAAATATGTAGCAGAAACTACATTTTGTGTACCTGTACTAGCATCGTAACTAATTTGCATGCTAGGCAGATTCGTGGTTGCAAGGACAACGAGTCGAGTGTTGCACAGTGATGTGGGAGGTTCAAAGCATGAGCGATGACTAGATGCCATTTTAGTAAAACTTTCAGCAGCTCAACTGCAGATTACCGCCAAGGTTACATTGCAATGAAGTTGCATGTCATGGTAGTATTTCTCTTCAGTCATCAGGAATTCAGCATGCACACTCGTAGCAATAGACCACGAAAGCATTAAAGACCAACCGCTCTGAATAAAATAAAATATCTTGATGATATAAATATTAAACAGCATTCACGCCAAACCGCGAAAATGAATTAAACATAAGATATCCTAATAAAACAATCGGGATGCAGATCTCAGTGTTCACATCCAACTGTTCAGACGCGACGTTACCGAGCCAGCGCAGTAAACAATGACCCAGCAGTGGAAACGGGGCCGAGAGCGGCAATAAGACAGGACACCCGAAAGAACGCTTTTCAGACGTACATGTTGCCCGCAGAATCAAATGACACAGAAAAAGACGAGAACAAACAAAACCCGCCCACCTCTCCGAGCACACCCGTGATGCTTTCCTCTTTGTCCTGGCGCGTGAAAAGGTATGCGCAGATCTTGCAAAGACCAGGCCCTGGGTTCGGCTCATTTGTGGGGACCCGATGGCATGGGCTGTCGCAGTGTCAGCATAATCTTCTTGAAGATTGCAAAGGGAAACAGAGGAAAGGTCTTACCCTGCTTGCTTGCTTCTTTCCTGCTCCGCCTCCTACAAGAATTGCTTCGCCAGATCCCCCTCACACACACTAACCCACACCACCGCCATCACCAGGATTAGCTCCACCTCTAGGAATCGCGAGCTGGGTCTTCCCTGCGAGACAATCAGCTAGGAGCTGTTTCCAAGCGTGGCCCATTCCAGGATTAGGTTTCCTGTTTCTCTAGCATTGCCAGTATTTGCACTGTTGGCTTGCATTGCATTCGAGATGTTAATATCGATATTAAAATTGGATATTGGACGAAATTTTAACATTGGAGTCTATCTAAATGAAAAATGTGGCTAATGTATATATATATATATATATATCCAAAAATATTTAATATATTGTCTTTTAATAGTGTAATGGATATACATATTTACTTAGATTAAAGAGATTATATAGAATTAATTAGAAGTAAATAAATTTATAAATATCTTATGGAAAATCTTTTTAGAAGCTTTGTAAAAGTAGATTTGACTTTGAATGTGTTTGTAGGTAATTAATATGTTGAAAACTTGACCAATAAGTTGGCCACTTCTTGCATGTGTTGGTAAATTGTGGTATAAATTAGTCATGTGACACACATATAAGAAATTGGTCTTGCAAGTTAGACACATGTCTTACAAGTTGGACACATCTTAGAGGTCCTATAGAACATTGCTAGGTAGCTTTTAATTAGATAGTATATATGGAAACAAGAATGAGGACTTCCTCACTTCTGACAATATCTTTTTTTGTTCTTAGTCTTGTTTCTAGAGTCTCTAATTTTCTTATATTTGACAATAGATATATTAGTCTTGATATTATACCATCTTTGAGTAATTATCTATCCTTTCTTTGTGATAGAAGAGTGAATTGATTCTTCATTCTTAGAAGTACTTACAACTACAGTTAGAAAAAAGTAATTGAAAAAAATAATAGAGACAAAACTATTATCTTTACAACAAGTATAACGATTAGGTACCATATATATTGTTAAATTCAAAAATTGTACTTGTGACATGGATTGGATGATAAAATCTTTAATAATTACCTTTAATATGAATTAAAAGATAACATCAAAGTTTTATTATTGATAATGCAAAAACAAACTTGTTAGAATAATTTATTGTTCAAACTATTGCATGTAATAATTAAATTTTTAAAAGACACCAAAAACAAAGATTTAATTGAAAAACAAGTCAAGTCATGACAACAACTTCTAAGTTTTTAGAAATTTATTCATTAAGGCCAAAATCTATACAAATTGATAGGATACATTATAAATATTTTACTAAGCAAAAAATGACTTCATATTGTCAAAAAGGATTGTGCTTATGTTATAAAAAAAACTAACTACATTACTTAATATTATCCAAAGAAGTAATGTAATTGTTAAAATAAATGGAGGATAAGTTAGAAGGTAAAAGATATTATTTTAGATAAGTTGCTAATGGTCAAAGGGCAGCAAAAGGATGAAAGAAAGTTACCAAGGTGGCGGCTAAGGTTATAGGTGGTCACTAGGATTATAGGTGGCGGCTAGGTTAAATGGAATCTAGGGTTTAGTTGGATGAAAATAAGATGAATGCTAGTCAAAATGGATGTAACCTCTACCCATAAGTAAAAGATATTGGAAGTGAGAGGCATCTCATTCCACACTTCTCTTGTATCTAACCTTCTTGTTTTCTAGTTACTTGTATCTTGCTTATTGTGTTTCTTCAATAGATTATGGGCATACACACACTTTGTTGTGCTATTCAAGTAAGTTGAAGTCATTTATTGGTTGTTGTTCTTGTATAGAATAGATCTTATGGTATTTGTTGATGTTAGAGATTGTTTGATATAATCTTGTATTTTGACTTGTGGAGGTTCTGATTTGGGCCTTATAGATCTCTAACATCAGTTTGAAGGTTTTTAACTCCTAGGATTGAATGATTAAGACCTTTTACAAAGACCTTGATAGTATCTTTGGTGTTGTGGTGAGAAAGTGAGTTTTATGAGTGGAAGAACTTGACGGTGAGATTGATTGGAGTTCACATACTTGTTAGAAGCTTCAAAAGTTGATTTGGGAGTATTTGGAGTGAAGAAACATTCATTTGTTCACAAGAGGGCATTCTAAGATTTTACTAGTAGAAAATTGTTTTGGTGATTTCAAGCACATAGACATTCCTTTTCTTGATATTTTTTGATAGATCTCTTCTAAGACATGGCTTCAAGTAAGGGTGAAGGTTTGAGAGTGATTGAAAAGTTTAGAGGTGACAATTTCTACCATTGGAAGATCAAAATGGAGCTTTTGTTGGCGTCTTTGGACCTTTGTAATATTGTAGATGAAAGTGAAGAGCCTCCAAGCACGCATGCTGATGCTAAAGAACGGAAGGACTTCACAAGACGTGAAAAGAAGGCTTTTGGCATGATTGCCACCAATTTGGATGAAGCCAACTTTTCTTACATCATTTCTTGCAAAGGACCCAGAGAAGCATGGAAGATTCTTTGCAACATATATGAGAGCAAGAACTTGTCTAATATCATCTTCACAAGGAGGAAATTCTTCACTTGGAAGATAGAAGAAGGTGAAGACTTCATGGCTCATGTCAATAAGGTAAAGGCCCTTGCTAATCAACTTGCAATTGTTGACAAGCCTTTAGAAGAGAGTGACATTGTCATGACCTTGCTCATGAACCTTCCCGAGTCCTACAACTACCTCATTGTGGCATTGGAGTCCATCAAGCTAAAAGAACTCACAATGGATTATGTGACGACAAGACTTACCCATGAAGTGAGTAAGAGGAAAGAAAAAGAGCCCCAAAGTGAAGATTCGGCTCTCTTTTCAAGACAAGGCAAGGAGAGTCATTCTAACCAACGTGGCAATGTCAGAACTTGCTTCATTTGTAGAAAATCAGGTCACTTTGCTCTCTCTTGCTACAAAGCTAAGAAAAGAGATAGAGAAAGTGCAAACAATACTTGTGATGAATATGGAGGTAATGATTATGTATTCATGGCAAGTGAAGGCACTTCCATGGCTGCCATGTCCAAGTAGATCATTGATTCTAGTACCACCAAGCACATGATTCCATATAAGTGCTCATTTGATATTTATGAAGAAATTTCAACAGCAAATATCCTCATGGGAGACAATGGCATAGTACAAGCTATTGGAATGGACTCCATTGTTATAGAGATTTTTGTGAAAGGCCAAACCAAGAGGATTAGATTGAAGGACACCTTACATGTGCCAAAGATGAAGAAAAACCTCCTCTCGGTGAGTAAACTTGTTTCACATGGTTGTAAAGTGCAATTTGATAAGAATGGATGTTTTGTGAAGACATTGAAAAGAGATCATATTGCAAAAGGCTTTAGAGATGGCAACCTCTACTTCATCAAGTGTAAGAAGGTAAATGAAGTTGAAGTGGCTGCATTTGTTGAATTTCCTCAAGATCAAGATAAGTTTGACATTTGGCATCAACATCTTAGTCATTTGAATGCCAAGAGCATGAAAGAACTCCAATCGATGGTAAGTGACTTAGATCTTGGTCATATAAGTCACAATGCTATGATACTTGCTTGTGAAGGTTGTATTTAAGGCAAAGAATAAAGGGCTTCATTTCTAAGTGGAGTTGCAACACGTGCAATCAAGTTATTCAAGTTTATCCATTCTGATGTTTGTGGACCTATGAGGATGCCATCAATAGGAGGTGCAAGGTATTTTGTCACATTCATTGATGATTTTTCAAGAAAGGTTTGGATTTTCATCCTTAAAGCAAAGAGTGAGTGTTTCACAAGATTTAATGAGTTTAAGGCACTTGTAGAGAAGTAATAAGAATGCAAAATCAAGATATTATGTACAGACAATGGAGGTGAATATATGTCAAAGCAATTCAATTATTTCTTGAAGATGCATGGTATTGCAAGACAAACCTCCACTCCTTACACTCTACAACAAAATGGAGTTGTTGAAAGAGCAAATTGGACCATTGTGGAGATGGCAAGGAGTATGCTTCATGCACAACACCTTGGACATGAGTTTTGAACAGAAGTAGTGGTGAATGCAGTGTACACAAGAAATAGGTGTCCTACAAGTGTACTTACATCAATGATGCCGTAAGAAGCTTGGAGTGGGTGGAAACCCTATGTTTCTCACATAAGGACCTTTGGATACATAGCATATGCAAAGGTACCAGATTGTATGAGATCAAAATTTGATGCAAAAGGTACAAAATGTGTATTTATTGGATATTGTGAAGGTACAAAGGCTTATAGGCTCATGGGTTTGGAGACTAAAAAGATCATCAAAAGTTGTGATGTTGAGTTTTTGGAGCACAAGAGTACTTTGGAGCACTTAGAGATGTGTCCAAGTAGGAGAAATGGTGTGTTTGTGGACACATCTTCAAATTCAGCAAAGAAGGAAGAAGA